AAAAATAATGTTATGGTTGGGGGTCACCACAACATGAGGACCTGCATGAAAGGCTGCGGCATTAGGAAGGTTGAGAACCACTGCCCCAAGCGCTCCCAGAAGACCAGACACCTTTGCTGCAGGAGTCAGGCTAAACGCCAGGCTGGATGTGTCCTGGAGTTGGTCCCTGCTGGTCACTAGGTTGTCTCTGTGAAATCTTTTTTTTTAAATCATTTTAGTGGAGGCTCATACAGCTCTTATCACGATACATGCATATATACATTGTGTCAAGCACATTTGTACATTTGTTGCCATCATCGTTTTTTCTTTCTGAGACTGTAACTTTTTGAAATCACTTTATTGTGGGCTTGTACAACTCTTATCACAATCCATACATCCATCCGTTGTGTCAAGCACATTTGTACATTCGTTGCCATCATCATTCTTAAAACATTTGCTTTCTACTTGAGCCCTTGGTATCAGCTCCTCATTTTCCCCTCCTTCCCCAAGCACCCTCACAAACCCTTGATAATTTATAAGTTATTATTATTTTGTCATGTCTTACACTGTCCGACACCTCCCTTCATCCACTTTTCTGTTGTCTGTCCCCTAGTGGGCGGTTGTATGTTGGTCCTTGTGATCAGTTTCTCTTTTCTACCCCACCTTCCCCTTAACCTCCTGGTAGCTCCACTCTCATGATTGGTCCTGAGGGGTTTATATGTCCTGGATTCCTTGTGTTTCCCAGTTCTTATCTGTACCCGTGTATATCCTCTGGTCTAGCCAGATTTATAAGGTAGAATTGGGGTCATGATAGTGGGGGCAGGGAGGAAGCTTTAAAGAACTAGAGGAATATTGTATGGTTAATAATTTCTTTCTTTTTTTTAAAAACATTTTATTAGGGGCTCATGCAACTGTTATCGCAATCCATACACACATCAATTGTGTAAAGTGGCTTTTGTACATCATTCTCAAAACATTTTCTCTCCACTTAAACCTCCGATATGGTTAATCATTTCTATACAGCACCCTGACTGGCTTGTCTCCTCCCCACGGCCCTTCTGTAAGGGGATGTCCAGTTGCCTATAGATGGGCTTTGGGTCTCCACTCCACACTCTCCCTCATTCACAATGATATGATTTTTTGTTATTTGATGTCTGACCTGATCCCATCGACACCTCATGATCACACAGGCTGGTGTGCTTCTTCCATGTGGGTTTTGTTGCTTCTGAGCTAGATGGCCGTTTGTTTATCTTCAAGCCTTAAGACCCAGACGCTATATCTTTTGATAGCTGGGTACCATCAGCTTCATGGAATGCCAGTTTAATAGAGCAAAGTGTTCTTGCATTGAGGGAGTACTTGAGTGGAGGCCCAATGTCCATCTGCTACCTTAATACTAAACCTATCAATATATGCACATAGATCTATTTCCCCATCATCATATATAAATATATTTACATATGTACATGCTTGTATTTAGACCTCTATAAATGCCCTTTGCTTCCTAGTTCTTTCCTCTATTTCCTTTTACTTTTCTCTTGTCCCACTATCATGCTCACCCTTCATGTGGGTTTCAGAAATTCCTTTTGGTTACATTGCCCTTGGTCAAGTCCTACTGGGCCTCCTACACCCTCCTCACCATCGATTTTGGATCACTTGTTGTTCCCTTGTCCCTGGGTTTGTTAACACCCACTTCCTTTCCCCCACCTCCCCCTCTCCCATGTCCCCCTGGAACTGTAGGTCCCGTTGTTTTCTCCTCCAAATTGTTTATCCCCCGTATCTTATCTAGGTAGACCTGCAGAGAAAATAATATGCACAAAAAAACAAAACAGAGCAAAACAAAACAAAAGAAAACAAAATAACAATAACAAAAAAACAAAGTCATGGCCCCCTAGGCTGCTGGAAGCGCGTTCCATCCTCTCTATTGCCCTCACCCTCCCTCCTGATCCTCAAAGCAGGGAAGGGGTGTCTCTTGTCACACCTCTCAGGAAAGGAGAGCATGGCTGTGGAAACATGGTGTGGCCTGGGGCAAGGGAGCAGCTCGCCCACCCTGTCCACACACCTTTCCCATTCTGTGGTTCTCTTGGGAAGGAGCCTGCTACCCATGGGGCATGGCGAGTTCCCGGATGCTGGGAATCTGCCTTGAGTTTGTTCTGAATTCCACTGGAATCTTGCCAGCAGCATGAGAATTTGCCTCCCCCGCCCCAGGGCAGAGGAATCTTAAGGTTCTGTGCATTCCCTGGTGCTGGGCCTGGGCGAGGCAGCCTGTTCTCCAAATCTTATACCTGGTAACCCGTGGCCTCAGAAGCCACGTGCTCTCTGGAACAAGCGGGTTGGGAGGTCTCCGGGAAATCTTCTCAGTGAGGTCCATCAGCCGGCTTTCTAAAGTGACAGGAAGCCCTCTCAGCTGGGAGGAGTGGCTGGGAGCCCACAAGAGGCTGCCCTGGCCCTGCCTCCCTCCCTGAGGTGGTCGGGATGGAGCCTGTTGCCAGCACACTTCTGGGCCCAGTGGGAGCAGACTTGGGCCTTCACCTAGCCCCTTCTCCTGGGCCAGAGTAAGCCCTTGGGGTCACTAGGACCATGGCCCCCATGCCCAGAGCAAATGCCAAACCAAATGGGCCCCTGGGACAGGCCCAAACATGTATTGATTGTCCTGCACAGACCGAGATGTATGGTGACTTAAAAAAAAAAGCGGGGTGAAGTTTTACAGAGCAAATCAGTTTTCCATTCTGTAATTCATATATATGTGGTATCATCTGTTTTATCACTCTTTGTACCATGTTGTACCATTTGAATTTTCGGGAAAACTGCTAGAGTTGGCTTTGACATTCCTGCTTGCATTGGACAAGCACAGGTTGGACTGAAGGTGTTACTGTGGGCACCAACTCCGTTTCAGAGGAACAGATTTGTGTGTGTGTGTGTGTGTGTGTGTGTGTGTGTGTGTGTTGGGGGCTGAGACTTCTCTTCAGGAGCCTGGCTGTAGGTCTCAGCAGAGTTCTCTGTGTACAGAAGTCCTAGGGGCAACCCTCCTGCTCTGGGCCCCATCTTTCCTGGGTACAGTGAGGGCAAGGGACTGGTACCTTCACCTTTGCCGTCTATATTCCTCTCGGCTCTAACAGGGCTGTTGCAAAGGACGGGCATGCGTGACTGAGGACACTTGGTCAAATATGAGGGACCAGGTGGAAGTGGGCTCCACCCGAGGACTCCCTGTCTAAAGAGGGGCTTAGGGGCTTGTTGGATGGGGGAAAGGGGCAACTTGGGGAATTCCTGACTCCGACTGGTGTTTAGACCAGCCACACGAGCAGGCCTGGTGGTTAGACCAGCCACACGAGGCCACTCCCCACGCAGCTCAAGCTCTCAGGCCAGCAACCAGGATCCTGGCATGTTTCTGTGGAAGGGGGGTGGGGGTGGCCATCAAGCTCCTACCTGTACCACACAAGTTGGTGTCTCCAGGCAGAGTGCTGGTCAGAAACACATCCTGGTGTGTCTGGTGTCCAGTTAACCGAAGCCCATGCTGGGCACCTGGGGTGCATGGGGGCTGGTCTCTGCTTGGCTTGGTGTTGTGTCTGCCTTCTGGAGTGGCTTGATGCAGCTTCCGCAGGCCCAGCTGACATGCTGCTGGGCAGAGCGTGGGCTTTGGGGACACACAGTCCTTCAGTGTCTGTTCCGGCTGGCCACTGACTCCCCCACAGCCCAAGGCAAGTCATGGCAATGACGGCTAGCCAGTTCATAGGGTTGTGACTTGCAAAATGGAAGAGGTCCTGAGAAAGCCACAAAATGAGCACTCCTAGCAAGGGGTTAACTCTTCTTCTTCCCCAGGGGCTGGGAGGGTAAGCGGGTGTGCTGGAGAAGAGCTGGGCTCTGGTGCTCCGAGGGTGGAGGGTGTGTGCAACCTTGTGGCCCGTAGGCACAGCCGGCTCTTACAGGATTGCTTGCCTGTGGAGTGGGAAGTGGGCACGGTGAGAAAGTTGCTACAGTAGCTGGAGTGCTCGGCCTTCATGATAGCTCCCTATCAAGTTCACTACCCTCACTACCCCTGAGAGTTTGGACAGTCCATGAAACGTCACATCAGTGATAAATAGAACAAGCATGTGGCAGCTCAAGGCAGACAAGGACCTACCTCCCCTACCGGCCAGCAGACTTCTGGCAAGTTGCTTCAACTCTCTGAGCCTCCACTGCCCCCATTAGTAGCAATCGGAAGAGGCGGCATGAGTCATAAATGAGATGGCAGCTCAGAGCCTCCAGACCTTGGTCACTGGCTGCCCCATGAATGTTGAGGTCCTCTTGTTTCTGTCGTCAAGGCACTCTCGGCGTGCAAATGAGCAGTGTGACCAGGGCGCAACGCAGTATGATAGATTGAGAGCCATGTGGGACTGGCCCTTGTAAACACCATGGGTGATCTTCAGTGCACAGCCCCGCGGCCTCCTCATTCGGAGCTGTGTGGCTGGCTGATGCCAATTTTACTAGTCCATCTGGTGTGAGGCTGGTATCCCAGCACAAGTGGAGCCAAGCTCATCAATCACCGTCTGTGTTTGGTCTTCAGATCTCCCAGTGGAGTAGACCCCCCAGAAGGGTTGCCTGCTTACCCAGTGCTGTGGGTGGTCACTCATCCGGTGGTAGGGAGGTGTGAGAGGATCACCCATCCCCCTCTGGTTACCAGCTCCCTAGGATGGTCTTGATCCGTATTTATTTGCCAAGCTCTTTTCTCCTATTATCCTTTCTGAAGTCTTAAGGTGGGTGGGAGGGAGCAGCCAACTTCCTCACGGGTGCTAATTGGCTGTCCTATGGACGGTCTTCCTCCCAGCCTTAAAATTTCCCAGAATTCTCAGGAGTTGGCCCATGTGAAAGACACCCACCCCCACTTTACACCACTGAGATGGATTGCCAGTATAAAATCAGGTTTTCAACTTGGTCTCTAGGTCTGGGCCTCCCTTTGTCTAGCCCCTGCTGCCTCCTTTGTGTCTGGTGAGGCCTCTGAGCCCCGGAGAGCCGGCCTTGCTCACTGTTTCACCTCTGTTTCCCAGGGCAGCGAGGTTTCAGGCCCCACCTTTGCTGATGGGGAGCTTGTCTGCAGGGAGCCTGGCTTCTTTCCTGAGGAGGAGGAGGAGGAAGAGGAGGCGATGACACTGGCCCCTCCTGAGGGCCCCCAGGAGGCAGATATGGAGAGTCCCATGGAAAGCACCCAGAGCCTGGAGGGGTCGTTCGGGAGCCCAGCCGAGGAGAAGGATGCGGGGCTCAGAGGCCTGTTTCTGCCAGAGGACAAGTGAGTTAAAATGGTCCAAAGCCAATGAGCAGTAGGTGACTGGTGGGCCCGGAGTGCTGCCCTCAGAGCGTCTCTCGAGGAAGGAAACAGGAGAAGACCTGCTTGAGATGTGCATTGTGGGCGTTAGTTTCATGGGTGTTTAAAACAGCAATAAATTCCAAGCAGCCCAAATGTTTATTACGGATACTTCTGGAATTTTAGGCATCTATGTACAATCAGAGGTGCCCTGGTGGTGTAGTGGCGAATGCATTGGGCTGCTAACTGCAAAGCCAGCAGTTCTAACCCACCAGCCGCTCCGCAGTAAAAAATGAGGCTGTCTGCCCCATAAAGAGTCACAGCCCCAGAAACCCACAGGGGCAGTTCTACCCTGTTCAGTGGGGTGGGTGGCCATGGGTCAGAATCATCTTGATAGTAGTGGGTGGGTGTTTGTTCATTCCCTCATTTTTCTGGTGCAGTGTCAAGCCCTAATGGCCCCAAGGGTTCAGCACTGGACTCCTAACAGAGCTGGGTGGTTCAAAGCCACCAGCCTCTCCGAGGGAGAAAGGTGATGCTCTGGACGCGTTACGGAGAGTTCTGCTGTGTCCTAGTGCAGGGGCCGTGGCCCTGTCACACAGCTGCTCATGTAGTGGGGACCCCCGCCATAACATGATTGTCGTTGTCATTTTACTACCCTGATGAATCAGGGCGACCCCTGTGAAAGGGTCGTTTGACCCCCAAAGAGGTTGCCACCCAGGTTGAGAACCACTGTCCTAGAGGATCCCTGTGTATCAAAAGATCCAAAACAAACTATTATGTCGATGTGAAAGAGGGGGCGTTGGAGTGGAGACCCAAAGCCCATCTGTAGATAATCGGACATCCCCCCACAGAGAGGTTACAAGGAAGGGACGATTCAACCAGGGTGCAGTATAGCACTGAGGAAACACACATCATTCCTCTAGTTCCTCCTGAATGCTTCTCCCCGCCCCCCCCTCCCCAACTACCACGACCCAGTTCTGCCTTACAAATCTGGCTAGACGGAGTATACACATTAACACAGATAAGAGCTCTTAACACATGAAATTCAGGACAGATAAACCCTCAGGAACACTAGTGGGAGTAGAGGAGAGAGGGGGGGGAAGGGGGAGCCCATCACAAGGTTGGATATATAACCCACCCCCCAAAGGGGATGAGTAACAGAAATGTGAGTGAAGAGAGACAACGGACAGTGTAAGACATGAAATAACAGCAATGATATATAATTGATCAAGGATTCGCAAGGGGAGAAAAAAGAGGAGCTGATACCAAGGGCTCAAGTAGGAAGAAAATGTTTTGGAAATGTTGATGGTATCATATGTATAAGTGTGCTTAATACAACTGAATGATAATTTTTATAAGATTTTTAAGAGCACCCCCAAAAATGATTAAGGTCTATTTTTAACACTTTAATGACAATGGAGTAAATGATTTTTCACTAGGTAGGTGTAAAGATGTCCATGAGTAACTATTAGATTTGTTAAAAACATGTACTTTCTACTGGGCAAGAGGAGCATTGGTGGTGCAGTGCAGTGGTTAAATCTCTCAGCTGAAAACCAAAAGGTTGACAGTTCAAACCCAACAGCCACTCTCCTGAAGAAAGCTAGGGCAGCCTGCTTCCATAAAGAGCCCCAGCCTTGGCAACCCGGCAGGGAAGTTCTGGGCTGTCCTATAGCATCCCTGTGAGTTGACTTGACTCACTACTAGAGATATGGTTTGCGATATAGGAGGGGGGTTCAAAAGGCTGTGGAAACGTGGAATTGAAAGATAATGGAAACTTTCTATGAGCTTTTTCAAGCCCCCTCTTACTGGGAGGTGCTGCTAGAAGGAATTGGAACAGAAACTTGAAGCTGCTATCTGGACGGCAAGGCCAATCATAGTGGTAGCTTCCTCACTGCGGGATTGTCGTGTTGTCTGTATTGAGCCATACACCCTCCAAATAGGAAATGCTATTTCAAAATCATCGTAGTGACCTTTTAGTTGGGTGTCAGCAGAGGAGAGTCCATCCCACAGCAGCCCCCACAAAATCTCTGGAGCGATACTTACAGGATGACAGAGGCAGCTGCCATACCCTCCCCCCCCCCCCAATCACTGAGATGTGCGAGGGGAGGGGTTAAGCCATATGAAATTGATCATGAGAGCAAATGCATTTTTACCTCCATTAAAAGGTAATTCATATGGTTTCTTCTAATAACGTGCTTTGCCATGCAGGGGCTCCAGCGCCAGTGGCTCTGGTGTCTGTGTCCTCGGTGGGCCTTTGGGGCTGTTTATTGATGAGGAAGCTCATCAGCTGTTCGTATGACTAAGCAGCCCCAGGGCAAGCGGTCATGGACAGCAGACCTGTTGTCCTTTGGGCCAAGCATCTGCCCCTTGGTCTTTCCGGTTGGAAAGATCTCTTTCTCTGAGGCCCATCAGCAGGACTCAAGCCCCAGTGGTCAAGAGCATTCTTATAAAATCCACTGGAGAATGTGCTGAGGAGTATGATTACGCCATTCCCCCAGAAGCGCTAAGGAGCCTAGGGAAGTGAGTGAAGCAGGGGTGGGGAGAGCCTTGATCCTGAGCAAGGAGGCGTTTGCCCAGTGATTTAGGAAGAAGCAGGGCTTCTTCCGGACACAGACCGAGAATTGCTGCCTTAACCCTTTACAAACTTTTACTATTTTGTGTTTCCTGTTTTCTGAGGGTGGACTTCATAGAGGTTGGAAAAACCCTCATGAGTAATGGCACACAGAAGCGACTGCATCGTGACCAAAGGGGAATCTATTTGGGCAGATAACGGGTTGTACAGCTGTTTGTTCTTAGATCATGGATGGGGCTCAACTGGGTGGTGGGGGCGGGGATACTGGGTTACCACCAGGACCCTGGAGTCTGTGTACATGGGATTCAGCTTCTTTGAAGCACAGATCCGTTCCCGGAGTGGAGAGGAGCACCTTACCTAGTAGCCCCTAGTTCCCTGTCTCATTTCACCGGACAAGGAACCCTGAGCTGTGCAAACTGTGTGCACATGCTAGCCCTCTGCTCGCATGGCCCGTCTCCCGACCAGCCACCATTCCACGCCCCCCCCCCCGTCCCTCCTCCCGCTCCATTGGCCTCTCAGGTACTGGGTCTGGCTGCAGCTAAGATTTTGTTCCCACCTTTTACATGCTGTCCCATGCTATTGCCAGTCTTCCTTGCAACCTTTCAGCAACTGCGGATATGCTGTAACCTAGTAATGGAGACCCTGGGAGTGCAAATAGTCAGTGCACTTGGCCTCTAACCACAAGCTTGGGTTTTCAGGTCCATCGTGTGGTACCACCAAATCAAGGCCTGTTGACCTTTGCAGCAGTCAGCCCCAGGGAACCCCGTGGTGCACACTTCCACTGTGACATAGCTGGGGCCACACTGAGGTGGGGTCAACTAGGCACCAGCTGGTGACTGGTCAGCTTGACCACTGCGTGATCACTCTAATTTAGCCCTGGAGCAAATCAAGCCTAAGGTGGTAGCCGGTGTTCTGCACCGGTAGAGTCGCATCGATTTGAGTAGCTCTTATGCAAAGACAGTTGCTGTGGAAGTTCCCCTTGGGATCAGGTCCTAACAGTGTCTCAAGATACATCCTTAATCAGGCTCCCAGTTAGTAACACCCCCACCTCCTACCCCCGGCCCTCTGGAAGGCCCAGCTTCCCTGCCTTCAGCTGTGGCTGGGCCTTATTGACAGCCAGCTTTTCTGACTCGGGCTGCCTTCTGGCCCTCAGGTCCCTGGGCCACACTCCATCCATGACGACGTCGGACCTCTCCACACACTCCACCACCTCGCTCATCAGCAACGAGGAGCAGTTTGAAGACTACGGGGAGGGAGAGGATGCGGACTGTGCCCCCAGCAGCCCCTGCCCCGACGATGAAACTAGGACCAATGTCTACTCAGACCTGGGCTCTTCCGTGTCTTCCAGGTGGTGCCTGGGTCTAGGGTGGTGCTTGGAGTTCAGGAAAAGTGGCAGGACCAGTCCCCCCACGTCCCGGGGGTGCAGTTCTGAGGGAGCTGAGCCTCCAAGGGGCTCTGTCCCCCTGGGGTCTAGGTGGGCTGCATTTGCACCTTGGCTGAGGGCCTTCTCCCTCCTTCCAGCTTGAGAAACAGCTAACCAGCCAGCGGCTGTCTGCTGGGGGTCTTCATGGTCTTGCTCGCTGTCACTGCAGTCTGTCTCCTACTGTGACACCTACCCACCCTTCTGCGGCATTCCTGGCCTACTCTGACAAACGCTCAGTCGCCTTCTCTCTTAAAGGGGCATAGCTGACTCACTGGCTTCTCTGAGAGAGTTGAGCTATGGCTGCATTTCTACCATGCCCCAACCCCCACCACACATGGCTTCAGAAAGTTTGTAGGAAAACTCTATTATCTGTTAGTGCTATTTTCCCATGAACATTTTGGGGCCCTCCTGGTACAAGTTCAGAGGTAGGGGCCTTCACTAAAAGTGTAAAGGTCACAGTGAGCTCAGTGCCAGGGGGTGACAGCAGACTGGACCGCAGTTAAGACATTGTATGTCTTCCCGTTGTGACCCAGTGCGGGCCAGACCCCGAGGAAGACGCGACATGCGTACAGCAGTGAACTTTTGGATGTGTACTGCTCGCAGTGCTGCAAGAAGATCAACCTCCTCAATGACTTGGAAGCCCGGCTCAGAAACCTCAAGGCCAACAGGTGAGGCCTCAGGGCCAGGAGGCCAGGGCAGGTCAGAGTGGGCAGCGGCAGGCCAGGAGGCCTGTCCTCTGGCAGGTCAGAGCTCTCTCAGGGTGGTCTTAGTCCTCGGGACTGGAATTGTGCGGCAGCAGGAAAGTCGGGTGTTTGCCCAGAGCTGAGCTGATTAGTGAGCTCCCCTGAGTAGGAAGTATAGGCCAACCTGGGATTGGGCACCACAGCAGCCAGCGCCGTGTCAGTAAGGGACTGGATGGTGTAGAACTTCTTTCTGTTCAGTGACTTCTCTTTCTCACGTTCTCTTTAGCCCCAACCGAAAGATCTCCAGCACAGCCTTTGGACGGTAAGGCTCTCTCAGGAAGGGCAGCAAGAGCAGTCCCTTGCCCTGTGCACCTGCAGCCGGCCTGCTGATGAGCAGAGGGGAGGGAGGCCTGCCCCGACTCTTGTCCCCTCAGGCAGACTCCTAGGGATGCCTTAAGAGACACAGTCCACTGCTGTCCCTGCGCTGTTGGTCCCCTGCCTCTGCCCTGAAGCTGGGACCTGCACTGGCAGAGACCCTGGGTTCCCTCTGGCAGTGGTGACCTGGGTGTGACTGCTCCACTGGAGCTGGGCACTTTGCCAGGTGGCATCCTGAAGCCTGACCCCAGGACCGCACCCAGGGCTTGGGGAGGTGGCACTGAGTACCCTGGCTCGGCTCTCAGGAAGAAGGGCTGGGGCCTGGCCCAGGAGACCCTAGCTGCTGCCTATCAGGGAGGGGCTCAGGGAGCAGCTAGATTTCGCCTCTGATTGAGAATCATCTTAACAATCCACTACCTGTTTCCTGTCCCACCCTACCAGCGCAGGGTGGGCGCTCTCCCTCCCTCAGGTCGGCCAGGCCCTCTCAGATCTGCGGCACAGTTTGGAGCTGGAGGGTGGGGGCCAGGGCTTCGTGCCAGCTGGGCCCCTGTAGGGAGTAGTGGAACCCCACTGGACGCAGGTTGCTGAGGTTGCAGGAAGAGCTCGGTGATTGGCCATGCCTGCCAGGGAGTCCCTGAGCTGGGAGATCTGTTAGGGTCAGAGGTCAGGCCTTTTTAGAGGGGTCCCTGATTACACCCACCCCCACCCCCTGCCCCCGCAGGCAGCTCCTGCACAACAGCAACTTCAGCAGCAGCCAGGGAAGCACCGAGGACCTGTTCCGGGACAGCATCGACTCCTGTGACAACGACATCACTGAGAAGGTGGGTGCTGCTTCCCTGTCCGGCTGTTGTCGGGGACCCTGGTGGGCCAGGTACCCGACCCCCCCCCAGATGGGACTGTGCTCTTCCAGCTCCTTCAGAGGGCCGAGGACTGACTCCAAGGTCTCTGTCCCTGCCCTCCCCTGTCTCCTCCCCCTCCCCCACCGGCTGCAGGTGAGCTTCCTGGAGAAGAAGGTCACCGAGCTGGAGAATGACAGCCTGACCAATGGGGACCTGAAGAGCAAGCTAAAGCAAGAGAACACGCAGCTGGTGCACAGGTCAGGGCGGGTTCAGGCTAGACCCTTGGCTGGGCCTGGGGAATGGGGGGCCTAGCCCTATGGCTAAGGCCCAGGAGGAGGGAACCTGCCTGTCTCTTCCAGCTGGGAGGGCCTGTGACCCACCTGCCCCTTGTCCCACGGCCCTGCCCATGTAGGGGACTATGTAGGAGGGCAGGTCTTTGGGGGCCAGGGAGATAGGGTCTGAAGCAGGAGTCAGAGGGATAGGCCTGTGTGAAAGGGCCAGTCACTGCTCTGCCCTCCTCCTCCTCCTCCTTGCCTCCCCCTCCCCACTCCTGCCAGTGAGCTGTGGGTGGGAGCTGGCTGCCTTCACAAGGTGGCATGGAATGCAGTAAATTTTCCTCACCTTGAGGTCTGGTCTTCTGCCTGGTCAGACCCAAGGATGGGCCCTGTTGTGCTCCCACGTTGGCTGCATGGGGTGTGGGGAGACTTGCCATTGTCCACAGATGCATGTACCCAATGGGCTGCTGGTTTATGCCTGCCTAAGGGCCTGATGTGCTTGGGGCCACCAGCCAGGCCAGTAGGGAATAGAAGAGACCTGAAGACTGTCATCCAGGGCAAGATGAGGTCTGCTGTCCCTCCCTGCCCTGCCACCAAGAGGCCCACCCCTGCAACTGCAGGCCCCACCACCACCACCACCTCCACCACCATACCCTCTCTGCATCGCCATGGCAGGCACAGGGCAGAGCCACCTCTGTTTACATTTTTGGAGCCTCACAGACACCCACAAGAGGGGGCTCCCTGTGGCCACAACTTGGGTGGGACAAGAAGACTTGGGCCCCCAGGCTCGCCTGCTATCAGAGTCTGTTGCTGTCCTCAGGGTGCACGAGCTGGAGGAGGTGGTGAAGGACCAGGAGACCACTGCCGAGCAGGCCATGGAGGAAGCAGCTCGGCGCCACCGAGAGGCCTACAGCAAGCTGGAGCGAGAGAAGAGCACCCAGGTGGAGCTGCTCAATACCAGGTGCGCTGGGTGGGCAGTGTGCCAGAGCCTCCGCCACTCACCACTTGGCACTCAGGCCAGGTGCAGCACATCCTGAAACCCTGAGAGGAGAGTTCTGTTCAGGCTTGGAGCGCCCCCTGCTGTTAGGTTCTCCCCAACTCTGGACATTTGGGTCCACGGATCCAGGGCCCCAGGGGCTGGAGTGAATGGAAAACCTTCCCCCAGGCTCCTCACCGCTAAGTCCCTAGGAGAGCTCTGACCTCAGGGCTAGAGTCTCGAGGCAGGCAGGACAAGGAGCCTGGGAGCTGGTTGCTCACCCAATAGTTCCATGACCTTGTCACGGCCCCAGGCCTTGGTTTCCCCATGCCATCCCCTCCCTCTCTCCCCCACAAGGGTGACTGCACCACAGAACCCTATCCACCGGTGAGCCCTGTCATGCTGGCCCAAGGCCACTGGGTGCCCACAGAGAGAACAGCTGCCAGGGTGCATCTCCGCCGACCCCTCAGGGTCCTCCTGGAGCCTGCGGGG